CCACGGCAATGTGCTGCCTGTCACAACGCTGCGCAGGGTCTACGAGCAAGCCCTCCAGGACAACCAGAACGGAATCCACGAAGCAGGGCCACTTGGAGCAGCGCGGAAGGCAACAGTGGTTGTTGGCTGGTCAGTGGAGAGTGCGAAGGTTTTCGTGTCTCCACTTTTCGGACGCCTCTCGGCCCTGGAGCACGCCCCCAAGAGGATGGAGTACTTGTACTTGCGCGACGCGCTGGACAGGGTCCGCGAGCGGGCCACGGACAGCGCGAGGCGTCGAGGGAACCTGGGCGAGGAGGCCCTGCCTGAGGTGTGGTGGGAGGTGATCGCGGCTACCCTGGGCAGCAAGCACCTCACCCCGCTCGAGAAGTGGGCTGTCGCCTCCGTCGTGGGAGGCACCTATCTCACGGGCGCCAAGATGGCCGAGTGGGGCTACGACGAGAGCGCGGGCACTTGCAGGCACTGCGGGGTGCGTGATGACCTGACGCACCGCATTGGACGGTGTGCGGCCTTTGCTGAGGGCCGTCTGAAAGTGGCCCCTCCTCCTCCCCGCCGCGTGTCAGGCAACCAAGATAGATCGCATCGGCCCGTTCTGTCCCAGGGTGCCTGCGATGCCTGTCAGGCCCACGGTGGCCTTGCCCGCGGCGCCAGCGAAGATGATCGCGCGGGCGTTCGTTGGAGGCGAACCCGTGCCTCTGGAAGAGTTTGTGTTTGAGCCCAACCTGCCACTTGCGGGTGACGGGACAGCCTCCACCAGTGCCCTCGAGGAGCTCCGTCGGGGGGATGGGCGGTGGTTCAGCGGGGGAGGGGCGGGATCGTTCGCAAGCTCGTAGGCTCCCTCACCTGCCAGCTCCCTCCCTCCGCTCATGCTTCCGAGCTTCAAGCTTTCTGCCGAGCGGCAGACGATGCAGACGGTAGCCAGCCGTGCGTTGGCGACAATGCAGCGGCGTTGGCGGCTCGAGCAAGCGGGTGCGCGTGCACCTCTAGCCCAGCCTGGCTGGGCACTGGCGCCGCATTCGGCGCGGCGACCTCGCATACAGAGCGGGGGTCAAGGTTAAGTCGCACCAGGACGTGCCCACCGCCCCACAGACTGAGGGCGAGTGGATGATCGTCCTCAACTCTTGGGCTGCTGAAGCGGCCAAAGAGGCCCTCAACCTGTGGCCCAGGCGGGCCCAAGACGAGGCTCTCCTGGAAGATGCCTGCGCCGAGGCGCGGCGTGGTTTGGCGAATCTGGGGCGGGTGCTGGCGTGCGGGCCCGCTCCCGAGGTCCGCGCGCTCGGCCACCGACATCGGTGAGGCCGTGTTTCCTGCATCACGAGCTGCACGAGGTGGCCGACGGCCGCTGGCGGTGCGCTCAGTGCCTGCACGGTTTTCGGAGCTGGGAGGCTGGAGTGGCCTCAGAGTGCGGGCGCGACGCGCCCAAGAGTTGGAGGAGCCTTTTGTGAATACGCGGACTCACATGTATTGTGTGGGGTGGTGATTGGCCCCAAGGGCTGCCCACCCGAGTGCGCTCAGCATGCGCAGCAGCATCCCGTCGGCCTGGCCAAGACGTGCCCTGCCAGACGGCCTGGATTTGTCTTAGACAAAATGGGCAAATAACGAAGGAGCCGTTTTGATCGCGGCCTCCACCCCAGGACGGGAAGGAAGGAGGTAGTCCTCGAGAGCTGGGCTCCCCAGGATCTTGGTTTTCTCACTCACGGGAGTGAGCGCAGTGCCTAGTGCACCCCCGCAGCTGGCATGATGGGCGTCCCACGGAGGAGGACAACAAAAACTGTTAAGTCGGGCACGTCCTTCTACAGGGGGCAACTTCAAAAACAGACCAACAAAATAGTATGGGGACTCTTTTTGACCATCTTTGATAGTGTTTAAAGCATTCCTTTGGCATTTTTAATTTTTCCCCAGAGTCGGGCTGTAGGGGGACAGGCCCGACTTAACGCCACCGCTGGATTCGCTTCGAAATCCTGATCAGAGGGCTCCCCTGGCGAGGTCCGGGGAGCAGCGGTACAGGCATCTGCTGGTTTCCCCAGCCTCGAGGCAGGCAAACAGGGGTCAGCAAACACACCAGATCTGGCAGAATCCTACAGCAGTTGCCTGGGTGGAGGAGGAGGTGGAGGTGGAGGTGGAGGAGGAGGAGGTGGAGGAGGAGGAGGAGGAGGAGGAGGAGGAGGAGGAGGAGGAGGAGGAGGAGGAGGAGGAGGAGGAGGAGGGGAGGAGGAGAAGGAGGAGAGGAGAGGAAGAGGAGAGGAGGAGGAGGAGGAGGAGCAGGAGGAGCAGGAGGAGTAGGAGGAGGAGGAGGAGGAGGAGGAGGAGAAGGAGAAGGAGGGGGGGAGAGGCGGAGGAGGAGGAGTAGGAGGAGGAGGAGGAGGCAGGAGGAGAGACGGTCTCTCCAGAGTCATCCATGCGCGCCACCGCCATGCCTGGCCAGGGCTCTCCCTCGCCGCCAGGGGCCTCCCGCTGACGCGAGGGCTGCCACGGGCGCGCTCTCTGGCGCTGCCCCTTTCAAGGGGGGGTCACACGCACATACACAAAGAATCGACGATCCCCAGGAAAATATGGGAAGGGGGGGGGGAAGACGGAACTCGGGAAAGAAGGCTTTATGTCTATCTATCAGTGTGTCCCTGGCCCCCTTCACCCACGGTGGTGAACGCGGTAACCCGCAGGGACGCGAAGGTAGTCGCGCTTCGCTCGTCGCGGCTCGGGCCGCATGACGGCGCCAAGGTTCATGCGCAGTGCGCGAAGTGAGGCGACACATCGCGAGCCTTGCATGCCCTGGCCAGGAGGACGTGCCAACCGTCAGGGGGGCCAACCCAGGCAGGCGTACAGTGGAAATCTATGCCAAGGAACACCCTGCTTGCCTCCAGGGTGCCCTGGGTTGCGACGGTTTTGCGACGGAAAGCGTGACGCTCCCACACCAAAAATCAAGGGACGTCTTGGGGCTTCAGGGTTGGATTTCTGATGGAAGGTTTCTTGTGGCCGGGCCCGTACTGTAGGGTGTGAACAGATTGCTCCAGAGTGTCCTGGAGCCTCTTCAGGGCGTTCGGGCGCGCTCCGAAGCGGTAGCGGCGCCGGGTGCACTCTTCAGACCCGTTGGATCTCAGATATTTCAGATTTCTCTCGCTCTCATGGTTTCGTCTTCTTGGAGGCCGAGCACGTCGGAGTGATCGTATTTCATCTTGGATGCATGTTTGATGTTCTTGCTGAGCGCCCTCCCCCTCCACCCTGCGTGCGGCCGCCCTCGTCTTCGCCTCTCTCTCTTGCACGCTGGACAATTTGCCGATCGGTTGCCCCGACTAGCCCCACGCTGCTGCAGATTGCCTCCGCCTCGCTGCCGACGAAAAAAGTTTGATGGTCGCGGTGCCCAGTGACGGGCCTCACTCATGGGGTCGAGATCGAGAACCAACGCCAGACAGACAACAAGTTGTGTCGTCGGAGAATCGGGGTTGGCCAGTGTGCCAGGTCCGTCCATGGCCGATTTGTCGATATTCGGACGATCCGATGCGGCCAGGTCCGATGATCCGATGCGGCCCAATGTCTGCACGAGGTTTCGAGTAGGGAATCGGCCACAGAGCTGTCTTACCCCATAATGAGTTGATTGTCGAATCTCTAAAACTTATATGATGTTTGTCGCTCGACAAGCATGATTCACTTTTCCGTGTGCTCTACGAACGAATCAGTCTTGGGTCATTCAATATTGTAGTCGATCCCCTGTTCGAAGGCTGTTGTGCATCGTATCTCGGCCGATCCGATTCGATTCCGGCGCTGTGCCGATGCAGCCCGACCTGGCGCACGTTCCGATCCGATCCGATGCCGTGATGCAATGCTGCCTCGTCTTGCAATCTTTCCCTGCACCAGCCATGGTGTTTGCCGGGGGCCCTTCTGTTCTTCGTGCTCGAGCTCTTCACCTTGGGGCGCGGGGCGCCCGCCGAAAACGCGCGAGAACCGCGAGCGTCATCTTGAGATCTTACCGTTGCCCCTTCGTGCATGGCGTGGTTTTTCATCCTGAGCCATTCTTTGACAGAGGTGGGCCCTGGCGAGGGCTCCCAGAGGCCGAAATCTAGGCGAACGAAGGATGATATAAACTTACAAAGTTTGAGGTCCGCGCGGATTTCTCGGATCCTCGCTGGACCCCCCTGGCGGGCGGTGTCTAGCGCCGATCCGAGAAATCCACGCGGAGCTCGGAGTTTTTTCTGTTAATGTCATTCTTCGTTCCCCAAACCTACAAAAAAGCCGAATACGTTCCGCCTTTTTCTGTTTTCTCACGGCGCGAGCATGTCTGGGAACGTTGCCCTCTCCGACTTGGGGAAGATGCCGGTATCGCTGCTCCCCGGACCTCTCCCGGGGGTGCGTTCTGACCAGAAGTTCGAAGGTAAGTTTATTCCGGCCGTGGTGACGAGGGTTCTCCAGGATGAGCAGCTGTATCGGCATTTTTTCATTGGATGAATACGCTCGAAGCCATCGAGCCTCGAAATTCGTACTGGTCTGCCTGTTACCCCTCATGCCCTTTAACGTTGACCCACATGCTCTCGACGTTGACCCAGCGGATCCTTCGAGAGGGAGAGAAAACCAGTGACACGCAGCTGTTGGCAGCCCGTCAGCGTGTTGTTCCTCCGTTTCTGCCCGAAGGCCTGATGCTTTATCAAGAGTACGATCGGACCGAGGTATAAGATCGAGGTCGTCAGGAGTGTTGGATGCTCTCGTGCATCCTCTAGGGTTTGAGGTGTTTTGGCCGGCGGAGTGTCTCATGTTCTGGAAGGAGGCTCTTCTGGCCCAGGTCCGACGGTAACACGCCTAGGGGTTCCGCGCGGTGGCGTGTCACGGGTATTCCTTGAGCTCTCCCAATCCTGCCCGCGGGGGGAAGTGGGGGCCACAGTAGGGGGGGGAGTCGAAGATCAAGAGCACACGGGAAAATGTAGGGAATCCTGGGATTTGCGTGTATTTCTCGGTGTGCCCCTGGGCCCCCTCCCCATTGACACGGCTTGAGCTGGCCCCGGGGCGGCGGAGAGGAGTTGGCGAGGCTGCGCGCGGAGCGCGAGGCGGAGCTGCGGCGCGAGAGAGCCCTGGAGCCCGAGCTCGGGGGCTCGTAGGGGGAGGGTGATCCCAAGGTGGGTTTGGGGAACATGCCCAGCTGGATACGTTAGAGTTCCTTATTAAGGCGGGCATGTCCCTCTACAAGGAGATATTCAATTAGTCCGGCGAAGGACCCAACCACATGCAGTTGTGAACACCGCAGTTGTAGGCATCGTCTTCGAAGGAGCCCATTGTAGTGCCATGAAACGCTGTACTGGGTGGGCCACGAAACGCTGTACTGGGTGATGGATGACGCATGCGGGCGGTCCCATTGGGGCTTCGGTGGAGCTCCTTATGGGGCCACGAAATGCTGCGCTGGGTGGTGGATGGCGCACGCGGGCGGTCCCATTGGGGCCTTCGGTTGAGCTCCGTACGGGGCCAATAAACGCTGTACTGGGTTGTGGATGACGCTTGCGGGCGGTCCCACTGGGACCTTCGGTGGAGGTTCTTACGGGATCACGAAGCGTTGTACTGGGTTGTGGGTGACGCATGCGGGCGGTCCCACTGGGGCCTTCGGTGGAGCCCCTTATGGGGCCACGGAGCGCTGTACTGCGTGGTGGATGACGCATGCGGGCGGTCCCACTGGGGCCTTCGGTGGAGCCCTCTTATAGGGCCACGAAGCGCTGCTCTGGGTGGTGGATGACGCACGCGGGCGGTCCCACTGGAGCTTTCGGTGGAGCTTCCTATGGAGCAACGAAACGCTGTACTGGGTGATGGATGACGCATGCGGGCGGTCCCACTGTGGCCTTCGGTGGAGCTCCCTATGAGGCCACGGAACGTGTGATGGGTTTGCCGAGATGTGTGATGATGACGATGATGGATGATGGTGATGATGACGTCGATGATGTCGATGATGACAATGGTGATGATGGCGATGATTCTGATGGTGATGGGAGGAGGGAGGACGGGGAGGAGGAGGAATGAACGAAGGACGGAGAACGTGGGGCGCTGATTCCCAACACGAGGGCCCAACAACACAGGTTGGTTGGGAACAAATGTCTGGGAACGATGTTTTTTGTATCATGTTGGACTAGTTTGACTTCTGTTTTGGCTGCTTGTCATTTTCGTCCGCAACCCGCCTGTAGGAGGACACGCCCGACCTAAAGGTGGGGTTAGGGAACATAGCCAGCTGGATAGGTCGGCGCCGTTCGGACCGTTTTTCCTCTAACCGCACCATTGCCCCCACCTCTAGGTCTCCTAGATGAGGGTACGAGTGGATGGGGGTCGGAGGATCGCGCCGCATCGCCGATGCATCGCCGATGCGGTTTGATGTGGAGCCCGAGTTGCTTCACGTCGACGTCGCCGACGCATCGCCGACGTTGCAGGTACATCGCCGATGCATCGCCGATGCGGCGCGATCCTACGACCCTATTTACTCTCGGAAGCTGGGCGAGGTTTGGCAAATCCGTTGCTGCTAAACCGTGTTCCCGGGAGAAAAAAGCATTCCCGGAATCAAGTTCAGCGCGCTGCATAGTAAACGGGTTGCTTCCCAAAAGAAAGCAACAATTTCCTTGAGCTTCGTTTTAGCAGCCACGGGTTTGTCAGCCTTCGCCTGGCTTCTGATACTCCGACCCCATCCAGGAGGCCTGTACATCCAGGGTGCCTCCAGGGTGCCCTGGGTTTCGATGGTGTTGCTGTGGAAGGCGTGACTTTCCCACACCAGAAATCAATGGACGTTCTGAGGTGTCAGGATTGGGTTTCTTGTGGAAGGTTTCTCGTGGTCGGGCCCCTACTGTATGAAGGATGCGCCCGTGCCTGGGTCGTGTCACAGAGGCCACGTTAAGGCCTCCTGAGGGTTCGTCCTGGGTGGGCCTCGTGAGGGCCCCTGTGCTCGTGCGTCGGCTGGTCCGCAGAGGGTCCGGGAGGAAAGGGGGAAGCAGCCTTGGGGGCCATCTTGAGGCTGTGCTGTGCCTTGGGGCCGTCTTGAGGCTGTGCTCCGACTCCATCCAGGAGGCCTCTTGGCCACTCCACCTTGCTACGTCCCCCCGGCGAGCGCGGGCGGCACGCCGCGGCCGCGGAGCTGGAGGAGCTCCGCGCATCGCACGAGGCCCGGGCGCGCACGAGCAGTCAGGGGTCGGGGCTCGAGATCGTCGGGGGCGGCCAGGAGGGGGGTGAGGACTGGGGGGGGTGGATCTCGTGGCGGGGGCCATGACATCTCCCCAGATTTCATATGGTGCCTCTTCTCATTTCAATGCCCCCCTGGGCCGCGCACATGCCGCAGGCCATGACTCGCGCCCCCCCCCCTCTCGGACCCCCTCCTCTCGGCCGCCCCTGAGGCTCAAGATCGGGACGATCGAAATGGGTGCGGAGACAATGGGTACAAAGTCCAACACCAGTTCTCATTCATTCTGGACAGGGTTCGTCGTCGGCGTCGCCGCGTTTGTCCTTGCGATGCAGAAGGCCGCCTTCCTAAATAACAGCGGCCATTGTTGATGCTGAACAACATTTGTTGTTGAGCATCGTGCCCATGTTCTTCGTACCCATTTCGGGCGTCCAAACAAGAGACGGGGATCAATGCAAACGGGGATCAGTCAGAGCGCCAGATCTTACGCGACCCTGCAGAGCCAGGGGGGCACTTGGCAGGGCTTGGGTACAGGTTCCTGCAGCAATTTGCAGGACATTGCATGGCCCAGTTGACTTGGGTCTGAATTAACCCCGGTCAGTGGATCCCGAAGGGACCCTGAATCATCAGAGCTGGGGGCGGCCAGGGATAGTTGCAGATTCTCGCCTCGGGGGCCCACGCCAGAGTTACCCCGGACCGCAGGTATGCCGGGTCATGCGGGCGTCCAACCCTCCCGAATCATCAGGGCTCAGACTCGCGCCTCCGGGGCCCGAACCGGAGTTGCCCCGGGGACCGCAGCTATCCCGTACGATTCGGGCGTCCGAGGTCGGGGGAGGAAGAGATGCCGGTGCCGCTGCTCGTCCTAGGGGAGCCCTCGTCGCCAAGGCTGGGTTCTGCGCAGCGTTCCGGTCAGAGCGCACTCCGGGACAGGTCAGCCACGCGCAGAGGGGGGTGGGGGGGTAGGGGAGGGCTTCTTGGAAGCTTCTCGGAAGCCGCGGTCCTTTCCTATGGATGAAAGGCCGGCGACTTCTGAGAAGCAGCCTCCTTCTGAGAGTCAGTCTCGTCTCACCGATCCCCATCCCCGTGCCCATTGCCTTCGAGACCCCCACCGAGTTAACAGTTGCGCCACACTGCCCCTCCACAGGGAGAGCTGCGGAGACTGCAGGAGGCCCACGAGCAGGAGCTCCGCGCGGCCCGGGGCGGCGCCGCCGGCGACGACGTGGGCTCCGCGGAGGGCCACCGGCAGCTGATCCACGCGCTGCAGCAGCGGCTGGGCGAGATGGAGCGCGAGGCGTCGGGCGCGCCAGACGCCTCCCCACGGAGCGAGCGACAGGGGCAGCGTCAGGGGGGGGGGACAGGGTAACTAAGGAGGGGGCGAAAAGGAGAAGGAGGAGGAGAGGAGGAGGAGGAGGAGGAGGAGGAGGAGGAGGAGGAGGAGGAAGGTGAGTGTCGACATTTTTCGCAAGCTGTTTCAAGGAAGGTTTTCGAGGCTTGGGGTGGTATCCGTCGAGCGCGTTCCAGGGGTGCCGGAGTCGTCCCGAACGGCCGCGGGAGAGCCGAGGTATGACCCGAAAGCAGGGCGCAGACGTTCTCGGAGGCCACCAGCGCCAGAGTCGGCGATTGTCTCCACCGAGGGCAGATGATCCGAATCTCGCTGAGGTTGTTCCATGCATGTGCTGCTGTATAGTCTGACGGTAGTTTTGATTCCGATCCGATCCGATCCGATCCGATACTTCCCTCCTCCTTTCCCTCCCACCTGTCTCCCATCCCTCCCTCCCTTCCTCGTGCCCCCAGGTACATCCTTGTCCCTCCCTCGTCCCTCGTCCATCCTCCTTCCCGCCTCCCTCCTGCGCCGCCCTCGTCGTCCGTACGCGTTCGCCGACGTCTTGGTCCGCCCTCTCCGCTCTGCGATCCGCTCCGCCTTCTTGCTGATGGCGGTGATTCTCGGGCTTCTGATGTGGCCGAAACGGATTACCATTAGGTCGGGCCTGTCCCCCTACAGGAGGATGTTGGGCGAAAAAATCAAGCGAACAAAAACATAAGCAAGCACATGCCAAACATACACCAAACATCGTCCCCAGACTATTTTGGGACGAGTTTTGAATATTCCCCCAAGAGGGACCGCCTGGGCCCCTGCCCACATGACAGAGGAGGAGGTTATCTTTCCTGCCCCTGAGGACCCTCCGCCCCCTCCCCACCTTTGGCTCGCGGGAAGTAGGCGGGCGGAGTCTTTCGCCAAGCTGGGGGCCTTGTCGACCAAGGTCCCCGAACGGCATGCGAGATTCTACAATGAGGGTCTCTCCGCTGCCGCCCAAAATGCTAAGTATCTAGGCTGGGCGGTCCAGCGGAACTGCCAGCTGGAGCTTTGGGCCGAAGCCGCGGAGCTCACGGCTGGCGCACAGAGGGCGAAGCCCGCAGCATGCAAAATAAGCTTGCGCCTCCACGAGCACGACCTTGTGGAGGCCGGAGGGCGTCTGTTCTGCAGGAAGTGCAGGAGATCGGCCCGAACGCCCGGGGTTCGTCGACAGTTGGCGGGGGGCACCGACCGATGGTGCCGCCCGACTGCCATTCACACCCTTCAGGCCAAGGTCCTTGAGGCTGCCGCCGTCAGCCGCCTGTTGGGGGCGTCGGTGGGGTCTGCGGATGTTGGGCTGTCTGGGGTTGGGGCGTCTGGCGTTGGAGCGGGAGGGCCGTCTGTGGACGGGGCCTTGCCCGGCCTGGGCACTGTGGGGTCGTCTGGGGAGGGGCCTGTGACCTGCCCGTGAGGGCGAGGCTGGGGCCCCTGGCGGTGCGGCCTCGGGCTCTGGGGGGCCCGGGGCGGGGCAGCCGAGGTTCACCGCGCCTGGGGGGCACGACGTTACCGCCACGGGTGCGGTCGTTTGGTGTCGGCGGTGCGGGGCCTACGGGTCCGTCTGGGTAACTAGGGAAGGCGTTTGGGGCCCCCTGCCCTGGCCCCCAAGACTTGGCCCCCAGCGGGCGGAGGGCCCTTTGCCGCTTGCTGGGGGGGCAAGCCCCTAAAGTCTGGCAGGACCATGGAAAGGGGGTCGCGGACTGGGCTTTATTTCCTTTTACTCGTTTAGAGTTGTGTTTGTGAGCAGGCGCTGCCTCTTTAGGTAGTTTTTCGTTCCTCCTTCTCCTCCTCCTCCTCCTCCTCTTCCTCCTCCTCCTCCTCCTCGTCCTCTTCCTCATCCTCCTCCTCGACCCCGAGTGCGCCGATCCAGGGCCCAGGATGAGCCTTGGCGCACCCTCTGCGAGGCGGAGGAGGGGCGGCGCGAGGCGGAGGCGGCGCGGCGGGAGCTGCAGGAGGCAGAGGAGCGCCAGCGCGGCCTCGCGGCCTCGCCGCTGCACGGGGTGGGCCTGGAGCCGACGGCCGGTATCGTTTAATTGGTCCCCATCCCCATCCTCTTCGAGAGCCCCACCAAATTACCACCCCCAGTTGGTGATACACCCCTTCGAAACCCGAAGGGAGAACGACCCACATCCCCATCTAGGGGGGGGTATCGGCCAGTGGGGCCCAGGCCACGCGGCTGGGGATGGGGGTCGGTTAAACGATACTCAGATGGTGGGCCTGCTGCCGTTCCCAGGCGAGGAGGACGACGAGGATCCGCAGCCCTCGGGGGCGGCCAAGAGGGGGGTGATGACTAGGGGGGGTGGAGATCATGGCGGGGGCCATGATACCTCTCGAGATTTCGTGGCGCCCCTTCTGATTTCACACGTGCCGCCGGCCATGATTTGCACCCCCTCCTCGAGGACGCCCTCTTCTTGGACGCCCCCGAAGCTCGCAAAAGGCATCCATTCTCGCCAGACCCGGCGGCGCGGCAGAAAATCCAAGCAGGACGGCTTCGAAGGCTGTGAGGTCTGTCACAGGCTTCCAATGGCTACGTCTGGCAGTCATGCGTGGTTTCGAATGTTCCGCCTGGGCTGACGCATCCGAGGGAATTCCTTCATCGTGTGTGCTTTTGTTGATTCATTGAGGGTTTGTCGTAGAAATCGATGTGTGCAAATATAACTAATGCTTGAAGAGCTCCGCGCGGATTTCTGAGGTCGGCGCTGGCCCCCCCCCCTTGCGGCGCTTCTGGCGCCGACTCCAGCCCGCTTCGCACACCTGAGAGGGGGTGCCCAGTGCCGGTCCGAGAGATCCGCGCGGACTTCTGAAAGGTTTGGACATGCAGCTGGACGTCCCCTTTCTTAGAAATGCAGGACGGCCTTTGTTTCGCCATGTGGCCGGTTTTTTCGGGCTCCTCCTCCTCCTCCTCCTCCTCCCCCCCCTCCTCCTGCTCCTCCTCTTCCTCCTTCTTCTCCTCCTCCTTTTTCCTCCTCCTCCTTTTCCTCCTGCTCCTCCTTCTCTTCCTCCACCTCCACCCCCTGGGGCCCTGAGCAAAACGAGTCGGGACGAACAACCGGCTCCGGGGGAAGGTTCGAGGGATTTGGAGGCACATCTCAAACGCAAGCTGCCGCCGGATCGATGCGTCTATACGCTACCACCATGCCTGACAAGAGCCATCCTAGGCCCTGGGTTGGTGTTTATCTCGGCATGAGGGCCTGTACTGCAGGTTCGTGTCGTGTCCACGCTGCGGCGACCCCGTCACGGGCATTCAAGTTGAAAGCCGCCATTGTTCCAGAATCGCTCAATGTCGATCGATCGAGGCTATCGGGAAGCGCCAATCGTTCAAGGTTGAACGATCCACGTGGTTTCCGAGACCAGTGCCGAAGTCGTACCGCAACGGGCTTGTCGTGCATTGTGCCAGGGCCTGGCATAGCCCCATCCAGGCATGGTGGTAGTGTAGGAAGGAGCCTTCTGCGTTCGAGGAGGATGACCCGCTCGGAGCGACCAGCGGGCTTCCCACGGACGGCTCTCCATCCCCAGACCTTCGACGTACTGATTTGTTGTTGGGATTCGCCCCCCCGCACCTCACGAATTCCCGGCTATTTCCCTGGGGCCATTTTCTCAACATGCCCCGTCGATTTCCGATGCCCGCAGGGCCCCAAACGCCCTGCAGATGCCCAAACACGGAACACGCGTGGATCTGTTGTGAAGTCGGGCATGTCCCTCTACAGGAGGAATATTCAAAAACAGTCAAAACATATTCTGGGGACGTTTTTTTGTTGACCATCTTTGACTATTTTGGGGTATGTTTTGAGAATTGTTATTTTTTCGCCCAAGATCCGCCTGTAGGGGGACACGCCCGACCTGCATTGGTTGCACGTAAGACTGACCCTCCGCCAGAGCGACCTTTGGCGCGCGGCTTGGGAGGGGGCGCGTTGGGGCAACCAGACACCGAAGCACGCAGGCCGCCGCTGTCGCCGCGCGCGTGGCGATCGGCCAACCGCACACGGAAGATTTCTTCTGCGCGCAATGGCGCCGCACTGAGCAGGATCCGTCCTTCGGAGGTCTGGTCCCGCAGACGGCGGCGAGGCCGCGGCGCTCCGCGCGCGCGTGCGCGCGCTGGAGGCGCGCTGCCGGAAGCTGCAGAAGCAGCTGAGCGCCAAGGCCTCCCACGGGAGGCATCGGCACACCACCGCCCATGGCTGACCAGGGCCACGCTTCAGCACCGTCGAGCCGATCCCCCACGCCTTTGGGCCATGGCATCTCAGCCCCGCCAGGGCACCCGCCCAGGTGGGCACATACGCCGCCAGGCCCGGAGGAACCAGCATTTCGCTCCACCTAGGGGGCAAGCCGGCCAGTGGGGGCAAGGCTATGCCAGTGGGGATGGGGATCGGTTAAAGGATGCTCACTGCTTGAGCTCATGACGGTGTGCAGAGTCCTGTGCACCACACCAGCCAGGGCCCGGGCAGCCCTCCTGGCCGAGTCCAGGAGGGCGTGGGCACCGGCCCCCAGGTCGCAGGAGGGTCCTGGACCAGGCATGGTGGTGGCCTGTCGTTGCCTTCAGCACAGGTAGAAGAACAACAGAAAACACACACACACAAGTGTCATATCCATAATCATTAGAATAATCAGCATGCTCATAATTGTAACCAGACTACTCAAAAGAATAATAAACATAGAAAAGATTGGCAGGTGCACAAAGCACAACATGTTGGAGGGTCCGCGCGGATCTTCCGGGCCGGCGCTGGACACCCGGCCTTCCCCCACACGTTCCCCGGCGCGATCGGTATGTGTGCGCGGGTGCGGATTTGCTCCCAGCCGGTCTGATCCCGGGAGGTTGTCATTGACGAGTGTTTTGCAAAGGAGGGGGGGGGGTCCCAGGCCCAAAAAGTGCCCCCGGGATTTCCCAAGAGGCCCCCAGGAATTCCGGGGCACCGCTCACAAGGTTCAGGGGTTCCAAGATGGCGCGAAAAGCCATGGACATTTTTGGCCAAAGACTATTCCTATCCACAGACCTTCGACGATGTGATATTCGCGGCCCTCCTCCCCCCCCCCCGGAGTTGTTTTTTCGTCCCCGGGCGTTTTTATGATACTGGTGCGGGTCACATCGTCCGAAATGGAGAAAATCGTCGGAATCGAAATCATCGCATCGTCGGAGATTTGGATTTGCAGATCCCGAATTGTCTTGCGTTCTTAACTATTGTTGATTTTCTTCGCGGGCCACTTTTTGTGGGGCCACGGCCGACTCGATCAGTGCAGCGTGAAGTGTCCCGTTGGCAAGAAAATGGTCGACCATATGACTGCCAAGCTTTTCAATGTCAGACACATCTTCCTGCCACACCGACGGTGCCAACAGTGTGGTGCGAGCCGCGTAGCGACTGCGCCAACATGTCAAGACCAAGCGTGCTGCTCCTATGGCATGTTGGTGCGGCGCTGTCGCCACATACAAATTTGCGGCAAGTGTTCGGTCGGGCTTGTCCCCCTACAGGAGGAAGATGCAAAAATAGTGAAAACATAGTCTGGGGATGATGTTTTGAGTATTGCGGGGCATTTTTTGATTATGGTTCGACTATTTTTTCATGTATCGTCCAAAATCTGCCTCCAGGGAGACAGGCCCGACCTAAAGCAAGTGAGAGCGTGACTGCAACAGGTCGGCGGCGCGGCGACGGGGGCGACGGGAAGTGAGAGCGGAGGCAGGCCTCCTCGGAACGCGGCGGGGCCTCTGGGAGGCACTCCGGCCTTGTGATGTTCCGACCTACTTTTCAGTCGGGCGTGTCCCTTTACAGGAGGAAAATTCAAAAATAGTCCAAATATAGTATGGGGACGATTGTTTGAGCACTTTTTGATTTTTTTTGTTTTGCTTTGTGTGTTTGATTCTTCGTTCAAAATCCTCCTGTAGGGGGACATGCCCAACCTAAACTTACTTCAGCCTTTACCACCACGAAGAATCTCGAGAATCTGGATATTGCTTTTTTTCAAGGTCGGCGATGACTGGGGTTGTTGGGCTTGCCTCCCCTCTCCCCCTCCCCCCCGGATGACCTAACCTTGCCAGTTGCGCAGGTCCCGGGGAGTTGGGGGGCGCGGGCGTATGCAGGGCTGCCCAAAGCGCGAAGGTTAGGTTATCGGCCGGCCCTTTCCTCCCCCCCCCGGATAGCCCGGGTTATCGCCGATAGGAAAAAACCGTCTCTAGGGAAGTATCGAAATTGGAGGGTGTTCACGTGTGGGGCCCTGGGGGGCGATACTCGTTCGGCTCTGTGCCAGCGTGTCGGGCAGGCATCGTTTCGATGCTTCTCGGGGTGCTCGAAAGTATGTTTGGCATGTGGTCCTCGAGTACGACGGGAGCCATAACTCTGGCCCCTCTGTGAAGACCTCCCAGCCTTCTGAGAGGGCCCGCCCCCGCTCACTCCCTCCCTCGGCGCGCCGCTGGGGCAAGCTCTCGGGTCATAGCCCGGGCCTCTGGCGCCCGCTCGTGAGAGAACCTGGGCTCCCCTGGAGCGCTCCCGGCGAGGGGCAGCTGCTGGAAAGCACCCCGAGGCTGGAAGATGCCCAGGGCCCGACGACGCTTCCTCCCTCGACGCGTCTCGGACGGAGCTATAGTCGGGAGGAGAAAAAGCACACAGACACAATTAATCGCTGGTTCCCAAGAAAATATGGGAAATTATGGGGATCGGGGGGGAAGACAAAACCTCAGAACATATGGACAAATATGCGGAATCCTTTTATTTGTGTGCATTTATTTTTGTGTCCCAGGGCCCCTTCATATAGGACGAGGAGAAATCCGTCCCAGAGCGCTCCGGAACGCTCTCAGAGCGTTCCGGAACGCTCTGAGAAGGCCACGGCGCCCGAGACATCGTCATGAGCCGCCGGATCTCAGAGTTATGGCGCCAACATCGCAGAGCGGACTTCGTTCGGAACAAAAAATGATGGGCCCAGAGAGTCCTGGAGAAGTTCGTTTCGGATTTCGAAGTGCATTTAGTGCGGATTTGTTTGGCCAGGAATGAAGATTACAAACAATCCACGTGAAATTAACTTAGTTTCTTGCTCGCTGTTTCGGGGTTTTGCATTGGCAGAAATCCATGCAACAATCCGCTGCGAATTTCGATTTATCCTCGCCCGATGTGATTCTCGTCCTGGCTTCGTCTTCGTCCACTGGCCGACGAAGACATCAGACGAAGCTCCAAGTCCAGTTCAGAAAAAAAAAAACAAGAAAAACACAAACAAAAAACGCTTCCCCCTCGACGCGCCGTTAGTGTTGGATTGTCCTCCTGCAGCCTACGAGCGGGGAGGGCAGGAGGGGAGGCGGGAGGGACCGTAGAGGACGCGGAGGACGAGGAAGACGAGCCTCCTCCTCCTCCTCCTCCTCGTTCTCCTTCTCTTCCTCCTCCTCCTTGTTTTTGTTGTTTCGTCCTCCTCCTCGTCCTCATCATCATCCGCCTCTTCATCTTCCTCTTTCTCCCTCCTCCTCCTCCTCCTCCTCCTCATCCTCATCCTCATCCTCATCCTCGCGCTGTTGGCTCGTCCTCCTGCCGCCTGCAGAGGCTGGCCTGTGGCAGGCCCCGCCGCCGCTGCCCGGGGCAGAGCCCGACGGCGACCCGCCGAGCCCAGGCGGGCCGGCGCGGCGCGGCGGCGCGAGGCCGTCGTGGGAGCCGTGGCTGCAGGAGCGACGACGACGACGAACACGACGAGGGGCCTCATCCTCCATCCTCCTCCTCCTTCTATCCCTCCTCCTCCTCCTCCTCGTCCTCCTGCTCCTCCTCATTCTCCCCCTCACTCCTCCTCCTCCTCCTCACTCTCCTCCTCCTCCTCCTCCTCCTCCTCCTCCTCCTCCTCCTATCCCTTCTCCTCCTCCTCCTCCTCTTCTTTCTCCCTCTCCCACTCCTCCTCCTCCTCCTCCTCCTCCTCCTCCTTCACCTCCACTTCCAGCTCCACCGATCAACCTGCAACGTTCACCAGCTCAACATTACGACCTCCAACCTCCAGCATACGACTTTTCGCTTCCACCTCCACCGATCGACCTCCCAACCCCCACCAGTTCAGCATTCCAACCTCCAACCTCCAGCATCTGACTTTCCACTTCCCCCTCCACTAATCGACCTCCAGCGTCCACCAGGTCAACTCTCCGACTTGCAATCTCCAGCACCCGACTCTCCACCTCCACTTCCACCTATCGACCTCCAACGATCACCAGCTCAACATTAAGAGCTCCAACCTCCAGCATCCGACTCTCCACTTCAAGCTCGACCAATCGACCTCCAGCGTCCACCAGCTCAGCACTCCGACCGCAAACGTCTATCATCCGACTTTCGATCCACCTCCACCTATCGACCTCCAGCGTCCAATAGCCCCGCATTCCGACATCCAGCATCTAGCACCCGACTCTCTACTCCCACCTCTATGTATCGATTTCCGACGCCCACCAAATCAGAATTCCAACAACCAGCCTTTCGCATCCGACTCTCGACTTCTACCTCCACCAATCGACCTCCACCCTCCAGCACAACATCCCGATCTCGAATTTCAAACATCCGACTTCCCGTTTCCACCGCCAATCGATGTCCAGCTCATGTGCCTTCGGTTGCGCGTGTATCTGCGCCCTGACCGGATTGGAATTCCGATGCGTCCAACTCGTTCGTGTTTGGCTTGGGCTTCGCGGTTACAGAAAGGACGATGACATCCACGGGATTATCCGACAGGTTCATGCCACAGACACTACGACTTCAACGAAATTACGCCACTACATCGGATTACAACAGAGGGGTGGGAACAATTGGAACATGAACATGTGAGGTACGCATTATCTTGAGCAAGCCTCCGACGCGCGCTGCCTCTCATGCGAGGCCATGGCCTCACCCGCCTCGCCCTTCATGGGCCCAGGCGCATGCCCGCACAGGCGATCCGATCTGATCCTCCTTCACCTCCTTCTCGGCTGTCCTATCGTTATCCGGCAGAGCCGCTCAGGATTCCGCTTCGCGCAGTTCTCGCATCGCCCGCAGTCGAGTTTTCGCCGAGGCGCGCTTCGGGGGAGGGCTCGGAGGGATGCCGACTATACACCACCAGCCCTGGCCAGGCACTTCCTGGGCCCTGGATCGGTGTACACCTCCTGGCCCAGGCCAGGAAGGCCCGCACACCAGTCCAGGACCAACGATCGGCCCGGCCAGGGCTCGTGGTGGTGTGTTGCGCGGAGCTCTCCCAAGGATGACTCATGGCGCCCATCCCCTAGCTGCCGAAGAGGTGTGCGCCCGAAGGCAAATCGATGACTGAGCAGACGCGGCCAATCAATCGTTGCGGTTTCGCAAAAAGCCATGCACCGTGGTAGCGGGCTGGCTCTGTCAAGTTCCCCGCCAACCCCAGGCGGGGCCGAACGGGGAAGGTATAGGGTGATTTGCGTGTCCGTTCAAGCACGTGCCGTGCGACCATAGTCGTGACCGACCCTGGAAAACGTTCCGAAGCACGGATGTGTGTCAAACGTTTGCGCGTTCGGAAAAAGATGGGCTCTCGATGTTGGTCTCACTCGGGCAGAGTCTCGGGCACGGCTTAGGTCGCTGCGCCCCTCTGATAGGGACGAGGCTGCGTGAGGGATCGGCTCATGAGGGGGATGCCACGGCCGCGTCGAGCCGCCCGCGCTCGAGCTCCAGGGTCTTCTCCCGCCGCAGCTCCGCCTCGCGCTCCGCCCGCAGCCTGGCCAAGCTCGTCTCCGGAGCCACGGGGGCATGATTGGGGCAACGTTGCGACCCGGACGAGTTTCGAGGTTAAAGAAATACAGTCAGTCCGTACAGTATGGATGGGCAATTTTCCCAAGGTTACCCTTGCATCCTTGCTCCTTCGGCCTATCCTTAGCCATTGTTGCTAGCCAGCCGCGTTCAAACAACGGTATCATGGGCCTCCAAGACTCTTGCATCCTTACCGCGCGTCCTTATGATACGGGTTGACTACACAGAACTGCATGCACCGAAACTCTTGGAGCTCCGCGCGGATTTCTTGGATCGGCGCCCGGCCCTCCTGGCGGAAAGTCTGGCGCCGCCCATGAACCGCTCCGCGCGTCGAGTTTTGGGTTGCGATTGTTCGAGGTGACACGGGAGGCCGTACCGTGTGACATTTCGTCTCCAGGCTTGGGAACCTCGTGATGAGGAGTATGAGGGTGATGGGGTGATGACAATGATATCGTTGTTGTTGCAGTTGTTGACGATGTTGATGGAGATGATGATGATTATGATGATGATGATGTTGATGATATTGATGAATGATGGTGATGACGAGGATGATGATGATTTTGATGATCCATGATTATGAGGATGACGAGAAAGAGGATTAAGATGAGGATGTTACGGATGATGCTGATGGTGTTGGTGATGGTAGTGGTGATGAGAAAGATGAGGATGAGTATGCGGATGTTGAGTATCAGGATAGTGATGGTGATGTTGAAGACGAGGTTGAGGATGATGACGACGACGATGACGACGAAGATGATGATGATGATGATGATGATGATGATGATGATGATGATGATGAGGACAATAGCGGCGGCGACGACGACGTCGACGTTGACGATGACAATGTTGACTATGATCAGAATAGTGATGCTGATGAGGTTGAGGATGAGAATTATAATGATGATGGGGATGATGATGGTGATAATGTGCTGGATGAGGATGGATGGTGGTGGTGCTGATGATAAGGATGATGATGAGCATGATGCTGAGGATGACGAAGGGGGATGGTGATGATGCTGAAGATGCTGATGAGGATGAGGATGAGGGCGATGCTGATGATGATCGTGATGGTGATGATGAGGATGCGATGATGGTGATGATGATGATGACGGTCATGATTGACGATGACGAATGGTGAAGCTGATGGTGATGTTGATGGTGGCGACGAGCAGGATGAGGATGAGTATGGTGATGATGAGTATCAGGGTAGTGATGGTGATGCTGAGGGTGAGCCTGAGGATGATGTTGATGATGGTGATGATGATGATGAGGACGTGGAGGACGATGACGGCGGCGACGACGACGTGGACGTCGACGGTGACATCGACGTTCACTATGATGTCAACAGTGGTGCTGATGAGATGAGGATGAATGCGGATAATGATGGGGATGATGATACTACTGCTCTGGACGAGGATGGTGGTGATGATGATAAGGATGAGGACGAGCATGATGCTGAGGGTGATGATGAGGATGACGATGAGAATGGAGACGATGAGGATGAGGATGAGGGCGATGCTGATGATGAGTGATAATGAGGATGCGATTGGGATGGTGATGATGGTGATGCTACAGATGATTATGATGATGGTGATGATGAAGTTCATGACAATGACGATGACGATGATGATGAGGCGAAATGTGGTAACGTTGAAACTGCTGCTGGTGATGATGATGTTGTTGATGATGATGCTGATGATGATTAGTACAAAGTGATGGTGATGATGCTAATGATGATGATGATGATGATGATGATGATGCTGATGATGGATGATGCGGGTGATCGCCATGATGAATATGCTGTGGCTGATGATCATGTCGACGATGCTGATGGTGTTACCGATGATGGTACTGTTGTTGATAGTGATGAGGATGATGATGATGATGATGGATATGATGATGAGGATGAGGACGCGGGCGATGTTGATGCTGATGCTGATGATGGTGATGATGCTGATGCGATGATGACGATGATGATGATGATGATGCTGATGCTGATGCTGTTGATGATGCTGATGCTGATGCTGATGCTGCTGATGATGATGATGATGGCGATGATGATGATGATGTTGATGGCACGATGATGATGATGATGATGATGATGATGATGATGATGATGATGATGATGATGATGATGATGATGATGATGATGATGGTGTTTATGATGATGACGGGGGCCCTCTTACGCTGGCTTAGGGCTTGCTTGGGCTGTCGTGGTGCCCTCGTGGCCGTGTGGTGGGTGTTCGGAGGACGTTGTGGGGCCGTCTTGGCGCAGGAGGGCCTCCCATGGCCGTCCTGGGTCCCACGGGAGTCTTGTTTCTGCTGCCTTTGGGTTAGTCTTTTGGATGCCTTGGGTTAGTCTTTCGGATGCCTCTTGGGCCATCATTGAGTCCCTTTTGGCCGCCTGGAGGTGACGGCAGTCCGAAATGGCGAGAATGCGAACATCGCTTCAACACTTGAGGGGATCGGTGATTTTGGTTTCTTCGGACCCTGTTGGGGGCCTTCTTGTGGCCATTTTGGACCCTCGTGGAGGCATCTTGACCCGTCTTGGATCAATATGGGCCATCTTGTGCCGTCTTCGAGGCATCTTGGGCCATCTTGGTGTCCTTGGTTGCCTGCACGGGCCGTGTCGGGCAGCTCGGGACGCATATCCATAGTTCTTAACATTGGATCTTTGCTTGGGGGGCATGGAGCACTTGGGAGCAGCGGCTGGGAGTGCGGTAAGTGCACGATCCTCGGGCGGGTGCGCGTGGCATGAGGGGCTTAGGAGTTCGCAACCATGCCAGAAGTGCACATTTTTTGAGCGGGGTTCAGGCATTAGCTGCCATGCAGGAAGTGCACCGTTCTCGAGCGGGCAGGCGTGGAGTGGGGGTTGAGACATTAGCTGCCATGCAGGAAGTGCACCATTCTCGAGCGGGCACGCG